AAGAAAAAATAAAACACGCAAAAATCGCGGTTGCTGCGGTTCTTGCATTCCTCTGCGGTTTGCTCGTCAATAGTATTGCGATAATGCGGTTATCGCGACAGCCCTAGTAGTGTCCGTGATGTCACCCGTAGGTTTCCGAAGAGCGTTTTTAAAGCTCAAAGTGGGCGGAGGCGGCCGTCGCCATCTTTGCAGCGTGTCACCGCGCGTCACTCCCGGATAATCGAAGATGGGCAAAGAGGCGGGAGCTGGTTGTTGAAACCACACCCACCTAGCTCGATGGTGGTGACAGCAGCGGCAATCCACCTGTCACTCAAGTGGCCACTCTAACACCCTTAATTATGCAAAAATTTAAGGCTAAATATAATTTAAACGGATGAGTTATAAAAAAATTCACCCCCCTCACAGTTGTCATGAAGGGCAAAATTAGCTATATAGACCAAAACCACTTTTTGAACCAGGCTGTAAACATGTTTTTTTCTGCTGTAAAGTTGGGCATTTTAACATGGGGAGTCTATGGGATTGACTCCCTTTTGGAGCCAGCCTCTAGCGGCCAGTCGATGAATTACAGTTTAAGTCACTTCCGTGTTGGCTTCACGAGAGAGAGCGGGAGGTTGCCGCTTGAGACATACAGAAGACGGACAACAGTGAGATGACAGTACTGCTGACGTGTGATGATGGATTGTGAGTTTGTATGACGGTAGTGGAAAAACTCACCATATTGAGCAGCTCTGGACCCTTGACAGAGATGAAGTTTAAGCCTGACTCATTAGCAACAGCCTGTAACGAGAGAGAGAGAAGTTTCACTGGCCAGTGAAGAATACAGGAAGTAAACGCCGCCACGTCCTTAAAGGGACAGTTCACCCAAAAATGAAAACCCTGTCATCATTTACTCAGCCTCAAGTTGTTCCAAACCTGTCCGAGTTTCTTTCTTCTGCTGAACACAAAATAACGTGGGCAACCGAACAGCTCATGGTCCCCCCACTGACTTCAAAAGTATTTTTTTCCCCATACTATGAAAGTCAACGGGGACCAGCAACTCTTTGGTTACCCACATTCTTTAAAACATCTTCTTTTAAATTTATTCATATTCATGATGCATCATAAACGTTTTTCGATCACAAAGCTTGTTTTCTGCAAGAATCCAAAGCCAATGGAAATTCCTGTTTTGCTTTTGTTGAGAAAACCAGGGTAATGTGAAATTAGAGGTCAGCCGACAAACATCCGTCAACACTGAGGCACTCTACTGACTCACGGTTGCTCAGGACAAAAACAATCCTTTACATGGCAGAGAAACACTTCATCACGCTGCATCTAGTTAGGACATGGTGTACATGCATACTGTGGGAACACAGCTCTAAATAAAAGCTCACACACTTTGGCTAACAGGGTCTTTCCGCATCCGGGCGGTCCAGCGAGCAGCACTCCAGCAGGCGTGCTCAGACCCAGAGCTCGGAAATGCTCAGGGTTATTGATGGGAGCCTGCAAATGTACAAACAAAGACCACAACATCACCTTTAAACGAAGAAACGAGAAACTGAAGTATTACTGATACAGTACAAGACCAAACAACTCTGTAAAAGTTGCGTTACCATGATGGCCATGTTGAGCTCCTCACGAATGTCCTGCAGCGCGCCCACGTCTTCCCAGGTGACGTCTGGGACAGTGGCGAACCCCTCGCGCTTCGCGGACGGCTGGACTCTGGCTAACGTGGTCCTGAAGTCTGACATGAGCACACAGAGTCCAGAGAGCTGCTCCTCGCTCAGAACCTCCTTCCTCTTCAACAACGACAGCAGCTGCTCCAGATCTGCTTTCTGACAGCAAGACGAACTTCAACAGCTGAACACCACAATGATCTGTGCTCTACTGCGGTGGATTATTTGTGATAGAGCTAACACTGAGCGTTTGACCGAAGCAAAAGACAATTCAACACAAAATGGTCAAATGGAATTTGTTTTCTTGAATGTTAACAGAATAATTCACGCAAAAACAAAAAATTTCAGTTTATCAATTCACGTCTTGTGAAGCCAAAAGCTGCAAGTTTGTAAGAAACAAATCCATCATTAAGATGTTTTTAGCTAAAATACAAGTCCATAATCCATAATAACGCTTCCTCCAGTGTAAAAGTGGTCTTGTGTGAATCAGGAGAGAAATCTGCACAAATCAAGCACCGTTTACAAGCAGAAACAGCTCTAAACAAATATGTGGCTGGATTCTGATGTGAGAGACAACAGGAGATGGACTTTTTCACTGGAGGAAGAGTTATTATGGACTCATATTTTTGTTAAAAACGTCTGAATGATGGATTTGTTTCAGATTTTGTCTTCTCCAGATGTTAACTGATGGACTGGAGTGGTGTGGATTATTGTGATGTTTTTATCAGCTGTTTGGACTCTCATTCTGACGGCACCCATTCACTGCAGAGCATCCATTGCTGAGACAGAGATGCAATGCTACATTTCTCCAAATCTGATGAAGAAACAAACTCATCTACATCTACTGGATGGCCTGAGGGTGAACACACTTTCAGCTAATTTTCAGCAAATTTTCATTTTTGGTTGAACTACTCCTATAAGTATGTCAAAAATATTTGCATGGAAAGCAAGTATAGTTGAGGAAAAGTTGATGTACTAGAAGCATTCATGAACGTACTGGATGTATGCATGTGTGTGTAAAGGCCCTTTCACACCAAATATGTTGCCAAAAGCACGAAACAAAATGCAGAAGAAATGGTCAATGCCAGTGACACTGGTCAATAATGTGAAATCAAACCCGTAAAGTGTAGACTATTTCATGCAAATTACTTGCTTAAAGGATTAGTTCACTTCCAGAATAAAAACTTCCTGATGATTTACTCACCCCCGTCATCCAAGATGTTAATGTCTTCCTGTCTTCAGTCACAAAGAAATTAAGGTTTTTGAGGAAAACAAAATATAATGGATCTCATATAATGGACTTCAATGGGGACCAATGGGCTGAAGGTCCAAATCACAGTTTCAGTGCAGCTTCAAAGGGCTCTACACGATCCCAGCCGGGGAATAAGGGTCTTATCTAGCCAAACAATTCACACATTATGTAATCACGTTGGAAAGTTCACACGCAGTTAGCTCTTCGTCTGTGTGCTCTGGTTCAGAAAGGCAGGGTAGGGTGAAAAACTTTGCACGCTTGCTTTGTAAACACTGGGTCTGACCTCACGTCACGCGTGACTTTAAAACGTAACTACGTAATGCGTGAAGTCCAGCTAGTGCAAGACAAGCATTTGTGGTTAAAAAGTATATAAAAATTTCCCATTGAAGCCCATTGAAAGGAGAAAAATCCTGGAATGTTTTGCTCAAACACCTTCATTCCTTTGCGACTGAAGACAGGAAGACATGAACATCTTGGATGACACGGGGGTGAGTAAATCATCAGGAAATTTTTATTCTATAAGTGAACTAATCCTTTAATATCAAAGTGTTCATGAACTGCAAGAAAAGTCATTTTTGGGCTCGTGTCTAATATGTGTGGAGTTTAAGGGCTGCAGTTACATCCCACTTCAAATGGGCATCAATGCTACCAAGGGCCCTCGTATGTCTATCAGCAGAGGATGTGAAAAAGCCTTAAGATTTAAGTGTTTCAATCCACAATGACTACATTATGAAAATTGAAGAGGGTGTTTCAAAGAAATTATTACCGTTTCAATGAGTGATCTAAAAATTATGCATTTTCTTAAAGCGGGATGGGGGGATCAAACCAAGTCATTCGAGTATCGCTGCCAAAGTGGATCTAGGCTGGCAACAGATGGGATTTGCACACACTGAGTGAATGCTAAAAACACCTTCTCCAGCCTCACATTCTGTTAGAAATCATCAAGTCCTGGTCGTGTGTTGTGTGTGGTTGTATAAGCGTACCGGTGGTGTGACGTCTTCACTGCTCGGCTGCAGCAGGATTCTGTTGACGGCGCTCATGGCTGCCTCCCGACACAGCGCCATCAAATCTGCGCCCACATAACCCGGCGTGAGACGCGCCAACTGTCTGTAGTCGAAGTCCTCCGGCAGTGTGATTTTACGACAGAGCGTCTTCAGAATCCTGGGATGGGAAAAATTGAGGATAAATCAGCGGTCAGTGATATTTTCAATGTTCAACATGACTTCTTTTCAATGCAGGAATTCCATTTTATTTAACATCTAATTATCCAATTAAATTAAAGCTTTCACACTTGGTTAGCTTGCTTGGTCCGAACCAGAGTTCGATTGCTCCCCCCTTCCCCTGCCCCCGCTGGACTGCGTTCAAATGATTTTATTTGGGTCCGAACCGCGGTTCGTTTGTGTCATCAAGCCAGCAGCTGTTTACCCCATAGCTTAGTAACGACGGCGCAGGAGAAGGCGGCAAATGCATAACATTGCTCTCTGCACTTCCGTTCGTTTCATTTACAAAGCTTCGGTACATAACGGCACTTACATCTGTCTTGCGAATGTACTGCAAATGCTCTAAAGAATGCTGAAGGCGAACAGAATCGAGATATACAGCTCTCTGTTTGCAGCACGTCAGTCACGCTCATCAGGAAAGTGAGTGAAACACACACAAACACATATTTTTATTAAATAATACGTCATTAATAGTGGTTCACTTCCGCGATTTGGTACGATTGCGTTCACATCAGCAGCGAACCGTACTGGAGTTCACATGAACTGTACCCCAGACCACCCTTTTTAAGAGGACTCGGGTACGTTTCGCGGGTGCGCACCCGAGTTCGGAAGACAGCGTTCACATCATCCAAACGAACCAAACTCTGATGTCAATCCAACCCGGGTGCACACCAAAAGTGCTAGTGTGAAAGCACCCTAAGACATACTGTTGACAAAACATGCAGCAGAAGTTTTTAGCACCAATATTAGCAGGCCTCAAAGGATTCAGCTCTTTTCTATATGCTGCGGTGCGCTGTGTCAGTGAGAGTAACGTACTTCAGTCGCGCGGCCTCATCAGGAATCCCCAGACAGATCTCGCGGTCAAACCTGCCGGCTCGACGCAGGGCCGGATCCAGCGAGTCCGGACGGTTAGTGGCTCCAATTACCAAGACCTGAGCCGGTTCTGATAACGAATTGAGGTCTAAAGACAACAACAAACAAATATGAAGCGTATAAACAGAGCCAAGAAGAACAGAAACACTGAGCGGTAACACAGTGGCGTACCGTCCATGCAGGTGAGTAACTGCGCGACGATCCTCCTCTCCATGTCTTTGGAAGCGATCTCTCTTTTTGGCGTGATGGCATCGATCTCATCGATGAACAGGATACAGGGAGCGCTGCTCTACAGGAACAACAGACACCAAACACAATGACACAAGCACCAACAGAGAAACACACTGGTCTTCTATATATAACGTTGATTTTAATCAATATTCGTTTTGGGGAAAACATATTCTTAAATTCTCAAGCAATCTTTTTAGTCTGTGGTGTTTACAGTTGATGCATGAACAAAACGTCAATAAACACTGCTTGTAACACACCTGCCATCCAATAATTGTAATGAGTTTTGTGCTTTCTTAGTTCGGATATGAAACAAAGTCTCAGCTTTCAAAATCTGTCAATTTTATCATACAAAAAAAATACATTTAGAATTGCGGCGCACAGCGGCATGTGAATGTAATCTCTTCCTCTTTACTACTAGTTACAGCAGCAAATAAACATGAATGAATCATTAAATATAAAAATGTGTACAATTTAAATGTTTGTATAGACCCTTTTAGTGCCGACGTCACAGCACTAGCTGGAGGCAAAACTGGAGGCGGCCAATTCAAACCAGCACAGGTTCGGCTACATAAGGAGCTTAAAATATCATCTTGTTGTGATGTTGGGTGCCAGACTCGACGGAGTACAGGCTCCAATTTGACATTTTATCGCATATCTGCTGCCATTACCAGACAAAAAAAACGACGACAGCTGTGGTTAAATGCGATAAAATGAGCAGACTGGACAGAAACGATCGTCAAAAATGCTCGCGTTTGCAGCGCACACTTATCAGAAAAGGTGAGAAGGGTGTTCCTGCACAACCGGAGGCTGCAGTTTCAGGACCGCAGTTCTAGGACCCTGGTGGTTTAGTTTGTAGTAATGTTTGTACATGTTGTTAAAGATATTAAATCTCAGGAACGTTTTTTTTATTTCAATTGTGATTTTTGATTTATAAATGCATCAGATGTTAATTACAAGACGATCGTCAAAAATGCTCACGTTTGTAGCGCACACTTCTTATCAGAAAAGGTTAAATAAAGTATTGTCTTTTGTTGTTATGGATTATGGTTTGTGTTGCGCGATTTCTTATGCATCTCACAACATGCAAGAGTAGCCTATATAGTGTATGCAAGTCTGTGTGCATGTGTGTTAAACAACAAACTGACGATTTATATGCTTAATCATCTGTAATAGTAATAACATTGTGATTGATTGTGGCTGGAATTTTTAAGAACTTGGTAAGAAAGAATAATGAAATACAGAAAGTTCAAAATTTGCAGCCTGAAAAAGTCTCCAGTAGGCGGAGATAACATGTGCAGGCTCTGACGTCACAAGCCAAAAACTCCGGTTTCGCTGTCTACACGATAACACTGCAACCAGAGTTTTTGAAAATCTTCACCCTGGCAGGCGTTTTCAAAAATGTTTGGTTTCAGTGACCTGGTGCTGCGTTTGCGTGTGGACGAACGGCCAAACCGCGTAGAAAAAGCTGCGGTTTTAAAAATAACCGCGTTCGTGTGGACAGGGCCTTGAGTCACAGAGGTAATCCTGTGTACAGTACCTGGTACTTTTTTCAGTACCACCTCGGCTGAGGCTCCAAGTGAACCGTACCGTTACCAAAACGTGATGTGTAAACACTGCTGATCACTGATTGGCCGGAGAGAATCGTCACTACCTGCATCACTGAACTTGCGACACAAACACAACAGAACCGCTAGATTAAATCAGCACAGACAGCGAAGGATAGAACGCAACTGTTTTTGAACGAACGCAACAGTTTCGAACGAACGACCTTTTTTTAAACAACAAAAAAAGTGGCTGTTTCGTGGTCTGTTGAGGGAGTACAGACGTTCCTCTCGTTGATAGCAGAGGAGCGGATCTAGCGAGAGCTTGATGGGGGCGCGGAATGAAAAAGTTTTTCAGGAGTCACGGCAGTAGAGGCGGCGCAACTATAACGACATGTGAATAATCCCGCCCACTCTAAAGCGGTACTGAACTGCAGTGGAAATGCAAACCGAGCCGTGGAAAAGCGCCATAATATAGTGATGTACCAACTGACGGGCTTCCCTGTGTAGTTCACAGCTTTAGACCAGAGCGAACAACTGACATGTACTGTACCTGAAAATATATGCTAATAAATTGATATCAGAATCAAATTAATGATGCCAATCAAAAGCTTGTGAATCAAAACTGAATCGACTAGTCCATTTTGCACTGAAATGCAAGGTGTACATGTAATCCAGCTATGTGGATCATCTGGAACATCCAGTGAGATCTGCTCAAAAAAAAAAAAAACATATTTTGAGGTGCCGACAGCCACATCACATCTCATGAACACAGACGATGATTACAATGAAATCACAGACTGTTTAACCCTAAAGAACCGGTCGGAGTGCGACTCTTACTATGGCTTGCTCAAACAGTTCCCGCAGCTTCTGCTCTGATTCTCCGGAGACTCCTGACACCAGCTCCGGAGCCGAGACCTTCAGCATCGGCAGGCCCACCTCCTACACACACACGCACACACACACACATCAGACGCGCTCAGCAATGAAACACACACTCGTGCACATGGTCAGTCACTCACTCCAGCCACAGCCTGAGCCAGCAGGGTCTTCCCACACCCCGGCGGGCCGTGCAGCAGGAACCCCCGCGGAGGAACCACTCCCAGCCGCTGGTACACCTCCGGATGCCTCGTGTGGATCAGCAGCTTACAGACCTCCTGAAGAAGACAAGCACTCGTGTGTGAGCAGGACAGACGGACGGACGGACGGATGGATGAAGAGATCTGAAACGCACCTCTAGAGATTCCTCACTGCCACCGAAGTCCTCGAACTTCACCGCTGAGAACTGCAGCTCATGGCCCTTGTTCTTACCTCGAGTTAAAACGAGAATTAACTTATCACACAACATCTGATGTTCACAGATATTTGTAAAAAGTTTTAATAAAAATAAATATTTTGCATCAAGAAATTTTTTTTTTTGCACAACATTTTCATGATGATAAAGCCTATTCCCCATTGAAAAACACCACCATGATCATTACAATAAGGTAAGATTAGTTAACATGAATTAACAATGAAAAATACTTCTAAAGCATTTATGAATATTTGTTAATGTTATTTTCAACTGCATGAATATTTGTATTTTTTTAACTAACGTGAACAAAGATTAATATATACTGCAACAAACATATTGCTCACTGTTAGTTAATGCATTATTAATTAAATAAATAAGTAGAGATGCACCGATTTCAATTTTCTTGGCCGATTCCGATTTCTTGTTAGTGTGATCTGCCGATACCGATTTTTGCCGATTCCGATTTTCTTTCTAACAACTATAATTGACAGCATATACAAACAAAAATCTACTTTTCTTCAACGCAAAGTTTTATTTTCATAAAAAAACACAAGTAAAAAAGTCAGTAATAAAATAAGAACAAATAAAAAAAATAGCAAACAACAGCACAAATAAATGCAACAGAATAAAGAGCTATGAAACTAAGTTTTTCAGGTTAAGTAAGTTTTTATTCAGTTAAGAAATACTACAGAAATTAAAGTAATCAAATGTAAAATAACACTGGATGTGTTATTTTACATTTGATTACTTTAATTTCTGTAGTATTTCTTAACTGAATAAAAACTTACTTAACCTGAAAAACTTAGTTTCATAGCTCTTTATTCTGTTGCATTTATTTGTGCTGTTGTTTGCTATTTTTTTTATTTGTTCTTATTTTATTACTGACTTTTTTACTTGTGTTTTTTTATGAAAATAAAACTTTGCGTTGAAGAAAAGTAGATTTTTGTTTGTATATGCTGTCAATTATAGTTCTTAGAAAG